CTACACATCACTCTTTCTTTCACTCACACTTTTTGATTTCAAAAAGACTTTTCAATCCTATTCATTGTTTTATATTTCACTCACTTTTCTTGATTTCCAACAAGACATTTCAAACCTACTCATCAGTCTCTCTTTCACTCAATCTTCTCAATTTCCAAAAGGGCACTACTTCTACTTTGTTAACTCGAATTGACTTGAGTCTCTCTCTCTCTCTCTCTCTCTCTCTCTCTCTCTCTCTCTACACATAAATTTTATGTCTTCATCTTTCTTTTGCAACGACCGACAACTGTTCAGTTCTCTCTGCATTTTAACGTGAATCACGAGGTGATCATCTTTTCAACATTTCACTTGAATTTCATTGTCATTTTTGTATATTGCATTTAGACTCATTTATTAGTTAGATTCTTTCTTGTTTTAATTTTTTTTGGCAATTCTCGATCAAAAGCAACTGAAGGAAAAAAAAATAAGGAAATGAACCAAAATCAAAAGCAAATTAGTTTTTTATTCTTTTTCCTTAAAAGGGTTATCGAAGTTGCATTATTATTATTATTTTGAATCTTTTTGTTCCTTAATAGAGTTAACATATATTGATTCTCTATATGTGGACTTAATCAGTGCACTTAAAATTAGAAAGCAGAAGGTTGTGAAGAATAAGAAAGAGATCGTTCTTCTTATTATATGGTATTGTCTTGTGCACTTAAGATAATGTAAGACCCGAATTCTAATATCCAGTAACATTAATGTCAGACTGTATTTTTCTTCTTGTAGCTTAATCTGCATTGATGGCTGGCTCTAGGAAAGGAAAGCACAAGAAGAAAAAGGAGAAATCTAATCCTCATAAATCCAAAGAAAACAACAAGCAGATCGATATCTCAGATATCAAATCTGAATTGGGACATGAGAAAGAAGGGGACAAATGTGATTCTAAGCACACTGAAGACAAGCAGGTAGAACAATTGCCTACAAGACTAAGAAATTATTCTGAAGAGCAAATAAATGAAATTATTTTCAGTTTGGAAGAACTCATACAAAGTCTTGAGCAGCAGCTGAATGATAGAATAAATTGGATACTGAAGAAAAGAAGGGAAGTGAAAGCGAATATGGTTAGTCATACTCATGAGTTAATGAAGCTAAGTTCGGAGAAAAAAAAGAGAGAGCAACCGGCTAAGGAGAAAGAGGAACTCAAAACTTCTATGTCTAAAATGATGTTAAATAAAGAAAAAGTTAGAGGAATCGCAACCGGTCAGCTCGACAGGCTATATGAAGAATTGGGAAAAGTTGAGGCTGAAAATCTTAGACTTCGAGCTGAGCTCACTGCCATTAAATTGAATGAATCAGAATCAAAGAAGAATATGAAACAGGCTGTGAAAAAGGAAAAGGAAGGCGTTGAAGAGATAGAAAGCTCAAAAAAACACATTAGCAAGACAAAAAGTCTGATTAATCAAGAAAAAGAAAAGATTCTTCAGCAGGAAGTGGGGTTGAAAAATGTTGTTCAAGCCCAAGGAGAGGCCAAGGTACATACTTGTTTACTGATGAACTTTGACTTAATTTGACTATGATTTATGTTGCATTGTGCTTCTGTGATACTTCCTGTTTGGTTCGAATTTGATCAGTGGACACTATCTGCATATGCATGGAATGTTTAAAATTAATGATAAAACAAATCTTTCCTTCATGTTCTCATTCCTTAAGATGATATAGTAGAAAGGGTTTGTTGTTCTAGCAGAGAAACGTTTTTTCTCCAATTTTTTTTTTTTTTACTTTAGTGAACTACAAAACCCTTACATGATTACTTTATGTTTACCATGTGTCTATATTGTGTATGACAATGAATCTCCAAAAAAAAAAAGAAAAAAAAACAGAAGAATGAGCTTTATTTGACTACTTTGTCATCTTAAATATAATTTTATCCCAATATTTAAGCCAAAAAACTAATGAGTATAAACTCAAAGTTCTATTGATAATACATCTCTTTTTTGAATAATAATTGATATGTTTAGCATTGTTAGTGAGCTTCGACTTTTATAGCTCTATTGAGTATTACACTACATTATCTCAAAGAAAAAGTTTAGCACTTGTAACATCACTATATTGAAGAATGTATACAAATTTTGTTGAGTATTGATAACTTAAAAAAATAAGTCACTGGATTTGCTAGTGAATACAATAATTTTATACCTTTTGACAACATAAATAGAAGAAAGGGCAGTGATGAATCTCTATATAGATTTAGGTTCTCAAGATCATCAATATTATTATAGAAGCAATATAATGTTTGCATGATCGCCAATTGTAAACTCACAGATATTGAAAGTATCAAATAGTGAAATAAAATCACTTCAAGATGTCAATCAGATTTTTAATCTTTTTTTGTTTCATTCAATAATCATCATTTCACTGCATAATAGGCTAGTGAAGAAACTTTCTCCTTATTCTTGATTTAATATGTTGCCAACTATGAGGAACTTAATTGACCTCATTATGAATGGTTATTGATTGTTCAGCTTAACATTCTTGATAAATAAGATCCAAGTGAAGAGATCAAAGAAACATCATGAACGACATATAAAGATCATATTTTGTTTGTGGATGCACAACACATTAATTAATCCATACATTTTGGCATGTGAGTGACATTTTATGCTCTAATAGTGTTAGTTTGTGATAAATAAGTATTAAGTTAGAAGAAAACATTTGTTTTTCTTCGAAAAAAAGAGATTCTGTTGTTTCCTCCTCAAGGAGTATGTAGCTAACAGTTTAACTTTGTTTTTCTCTTTTGTGAAATTTCTAGATTAGAATATCCTAATTTCTCACCACTTTTTGTACCACAAATCATCTGTGCTGATGTGATGTTAAGATTATCTCATACATTATTTTTATTATTTTATTATCTTTTTTGGTGAGAAAAGATGTCAGAGCACTTCCCTTGAATGGATCCTAATAGGGCCTTGCTTACAATCTTTAATCCCTTTGGGTATATCGATAAATTGATCTGTGGCTCTCGGGAACACAGTGTGTACAACTGAATTAACACTCTAAAGAGTATGAAGTGGTCCTTTTGATTTGTAAATGCATTGTAATAAACTCTTTTGGGATCATTGCAAGTTTCCAAACCTACATAGGCCAAAATTACCGAAAGTTGTCAGATTTGGAACTTTTCTAGTATGTTGTTAAACATATCATCCAAATTACTTTTATGACCTCCTGTTTTCATGGTTGATGAAATAGACTCAAACAGTAAAAAGAAAAAAGGAAAAAAATTGTTTAAAGTACAGTTTAAGAGACGCATACACATTATTAATACTTATGATGCATGCCTTTAATTGCATTTTAACTTAGCCATACTTACTGATACTCAAAGTACTTCACTACACTCTTGCTTGTTCTTTTATATTCATTTTGCATAGCTGAAATTCAAGCAAGAAATGGAAGACAAAGAGCAGCCTCGCATTCTAGTTTTAGAAGAAAAGAAACCAACTAGAATTGCAACAGAAGATAGAGACAGAAAGTTGTCATCATTGGAGCAAGAATTAGAGACAGAACGTCGATGTGTGATAGATGATAAGGAGAGGCGCATGCTGGAAGCATCCCATCTCAAGACACAGCACTTGTTGGCTTCAGGTGTTTTAGAGGCTGGAAGCTCACAAAACTTGGCTCAAGCAATGCTCATTCCTGATCACGGGAGCTGTATTGTCTGCTGCAAAAAAGAAGTTTCTGTTCTTTTCATGCCTTGTTCCCATCAAGTTGCATGCTTCAACTGCAGTGTGATTGTGGGAGAATATTGCCCTTCTTGTCGAGTGCAAATTGATGAAAAATATAAGATTTATGGTGGTACATCTTAAGCTATGGTAAGATAAACTGCCTAGTTTTTATAATACTTTTAGCATGAGTCCACCTGCTATAATGTAATGCAATCTTTTTTGGCTTTTTTTTTTACCTTGTTTTGCGTTTGATGGAATTATTGTTAGTGCCTTGAGATGGTATAGATGTTGGTTATGTATTTCTGGAATTGATTGACTCGGGTCTCTGTATCTGAAAATGTTTTCAGGCTATTGGCTTGGTTTTGCTGGTGAATATGAAGCGCAGGTCATATTTTATGTCCAAGGATATAGATCTGCTGGGTGGAGAGAAGTATTTGTAATATGTATGTGTTGACAGTTCAGTGACATTTCTCAAACTGTGTGATGTTGCAAGGAAATGTTTAAAACTCTGGATGATGTGTTAGAATTGTTAAAACTCCTGTTTACCGTATGGTACAATTTCGGCAGTGTTTTAGGTCAAACGGTTGCAATTGCTATGCTATGTATTTGAACGGAAAGGATGGTAAGAGTTATGCCATCATTCAAGCCTACCGTAAGGGTAGTCTTCTACTGGGTAGGTAGCCTTATCTGAGACTAGACATCTGAAAAACAAAGAGAGGCCAAGGTCAAATTCCTCTTCTGTGTAATCATAAGGAACTTGGCTTTATTCCCTAATACCTTAATACTGACTTCACTTTTGTTTTTGAATTCTACTTAAAGTTCAAGTGAGCTATGTTCTCTCATGGTGATGGGATGGGATGTACATCTCTTCTGTCTACAAGAGCGGAAAAAAAAGAAAACCCCAACGAGGATACCCTTGTCTGATTCTTGGTCACTGTAGCTGCATCGGTGATTCGTGTTTGACAAAAGGTTTTGGGATAAAGTGAATGTGCTAAACCTGTCAAAGAAAAATGTTGTGCATTCAAGCCTCCAGGTTGGGGGTTCATCCGCATAACACCAATCTAATTATAATTGGTTTATAACACCTTGTAGAAATTATCTTCTGAGGTGGTTAGTTGATCATTCAGTCATAATTCTTCTTTATTCAGTTATGTTGAAAAATGAAGAAATTGCCATTAAAATTTCTTCAATATCATTTCACTCTGCAATTCACTAAAACATTGATACAGTATACCTTTTTTTTTTTTTTTTTTTTTTTTGCGTGCATGATTTGAGCACCACGGAAACACTATGCATCTTGGCTTTCAAGAAAAGTGAAACATAAAAAGTGCAAGAAAAAGATGGCCAGGTTTATATTCTCAGGAAATCCTTGGAATATCATCTAAAACATAATGACCAAGCCTTCCTGTGCGATACAGATCCAATAATTTAATAGCAACTTTAGTATGACCATCCACTTCTGATTGAGTAACACGAAAGGCATTTCGTAACATTCTGGACTCTACTTCAATGAGCTGTTCCAAATACTTATCATTTTCCAGATCTCCGCTGAAAGTTGAAACAGCTTCACAAAGAGTTCGCCGAACATCATTTACGATGAAATCCTGCATAAATGGTTATGAATGCCATTATCAATAATGTAGTCACAAGCAAAACAAAAAAGGAACCTGTAGGCCCTAACTTTCATTATTGTTCTTATCACAAGTCTTTAAACTTCAGTTGTTTGATTGAGTGCATACAGCAGATAACGCAGTGGAGCAAGACTCACAAAGGATGGATAAGCTCCTCAAGAAGTGTAGCCCCTATCCACAATAAGCATAAAATTTTCTGTTTCCCTTACCCGTAGATTTTAATATTCAGCATTCCTTTTGAACTATGAATACTGTCAGTTATATTTAAAGCTTTTAATTGTTCACCACGTCATTGAACTATACACCATTCTGGCCACCAGAATCAGGAGGAGACAGGAGAAAAATCCTCAACTGGCCCTTCTCCTTTGAACCGAACGTACACATGCTTTAGGGTTATCACATGAAAAGGCAACAGAACAGAATTTAATAACTTTAGATTAGTTGAATCATGCGTGCGTTCGTCATGAACCTATTATAATAAATTGGCTCAACTATTTCAAAGCTACTGTATCAACAGAATGAAGGAAGAAAATAGGCAAGTCCAGAATAATCTCACTGTTAATCCCACTGGAGAGTTTGGCTTAATTAATTTTGTTTCCATGCCCCTGGAAGAGTAGGCATTTAATGTAAACCACACCTCTTAGTACCACCAAATTCTTGCCAATTGCACAGCTGAAGTTTGCTAGTCAAAACATGAAAACCATGACACAGGAAGGAAAATTTTACATAAAAGCAACACCGGACCTAGAAGTTTCCTAATACATAGTTAGACGTGATTACGTAGGAATTTGGGCTAATAAAACTAACTTATGCAAGTAACTCTAGGCAGTCTCCTGATGATTTGCTCCTGTTTTTTCTTTTCTGTTTTCTTTTCTTCCTGTTTTAATAGCTCTTGCATCTTTTGGTACTAGTGTCTACCTCTGTAAGTTCTTTAATGGTAAAGCTAACTCTTAAGCAACCTTCATTAAAAACTATTCCTTTTTTTTTTTTTGTGAGGCACATTTATATGAGAAGATTTATTATCTTATCCAACTTCCAACAGACAGCAATTCATCAATTTGTCTTGATTGAAACAAGCACACATTCTCAAGGAGCTGCTTCCGTTTGAAAAAATACTTGGAAAGGCCAAAGCCAATCCCAAGGAACAGTGAAGCACCCATTTACAAAATACCTGTGTGTGATCAGTTGCATATTGCCTCTTGTCCACGTGAGAGCTCTCAGAAAGCTCCCCTTCCTGATAAATTGATGATCTAACATTCTCCATGGCAGAAAACCTTGACCATTTCTTGTATTCTTGGCTCAAATTAAGAACAGCAAGAAAGTAATGAGCTAAATCATTTTTCCCAACAATGCAGTCCCTGATAGCTCCTATGCATTGGAAACACGTCAGTACAATTTACTGGAAAGTTTAATTTTGTTCTCAATGGCCTCGACTGAATAGTTAAGGTACATTCCTGCAACAGCTAAAGAGAGTTTTTCACATGTAAACCAAGGCCAAAAGAAAGTTCTCAGAACAAGAATGAATAAAAACTGTACAATTAGCATTTCTACCTATTAAAGCTAGTTTAGAGCACAGTTCGTCACCAAAAATCTCTGGAGGCAAGATACCAGGAGTGTCCAAGACGTAGATATTCGGATGACTGGCAATCTGAATGCAAAAAACCTCATGAATAATAACAAAAAGCAAAAAGCATGAAGACTGAAAACAGAAAGGGGATAAAAGGGAAACAGAGGTTTTTTGGAGGTGTACAATCATTAGCATGCAAGGGGACTCTAAGATACAGATGATGGCTGGCAGTGAAATTTCAGCAAATGCTTTAAAAATGAGAAGTGATAAATTAAGCAAACTGATGATAGAAAAACATAACAACCAGACAAACTTAAGTTTTGGGGGGTCTGATTATTGATTAATTTGCTCAGATAGATGATAGTTGGCTTAAGGGAGAATAGCTAAATCAAGATCTCCAAAAAAGGTTATTATGCCCCACAAATCTTGAGCTTACTCAGCTTACTGGCAACGCAATGAAGTTTTTGCATGAAATAACAGCAGCAATTACGAAATTTGAAATTTCTGATTTCAGCTTGTGCATGCAAGTACGATGACTAACAATGTATAAAAATGTGCAACTTTGCTAGATTCCCAAGTTGAAATAGAGCACATATTAAAGAGAAAATTTTGCACCTTTAAGCTGCTTATATTTTTTGTCTCCCCTGGTTGTGGATTCACGGTGGCATGCTTTAACTTCCCTTTCTCTTAAATCAACAACATATCATCAGGTTAGAAGCAACAAAAAAAAAATGAATATCATCTACAGAAAAAAGAAAAGGAAAGAAAGAAAATGAAATATTTATTGAAGCTATGGTTACCATACCAAAAAGATTAATAGCATTATGAAAAGTACAGTAAGGATCAACTGACCTAGAGCGCTTATCCTTCCAACTTGGTGCAGTGCATTGGCGAGGGCAGACTTGCCTACATTAGGCATTCCAACAAGCATTAGAGTTATCGTTTGACCGGAGTGACCTGTCTTCAGAAGTTCTCTAGCTCTAGCTTGCAGAAAGTTGAGGAACTGTAAGATGTTAAAATTGGTGATGAATCCAATATATATAAAGAAGATAGAAGATTATCGACAGAAAATATTACCACCTAAGCACAAAGGTAACAACAAATTGTCAGTCACAAATCTTGAAATGAATGATATTGTCTTTATTGGAAATGAGCAAGAGCTTTGTCAGACATGAGACCACATGGAATAACAAAGAAAACTTAAAATAAGTGGAACAACTGAATATCCTAGAGCTTTGAAAGCGAAACTTCTGAAAAACAGATGAACCCAAGTGGCCCACCAGTATGAAAATCAGAAGGTGTGTATATTATGTTAAAAGATGATTTGTCGCTCACTGGATTGATCAAAAAGAAAAAAGATATAGCATTTACGTGGCAATTATCTCCTATTTTCTCTCAGGATTTGTATACTTTGTTTTCAGCGTAGATATCCTCGTCAACGGAGGATGCCACAGGATTATCTTTGTACTAGGTGAGGATAGTTTACCCTGTCTATGATCAATATTATGCTATAAAAGAACAATTTAACTTGAGAAGACAAAGACTGTATCATGCTTACTAAGTTTTGCTAATTAGAAGATGTATACCACTTCACCCCTTAAGAGATTGATATAACACTAATCTTCATAGATATATCTTTTATTACTTCCAATTAATATAGCATCAAGGAGATCAATTTTTAGTGTTGTGATATCATATTTCTGGCTGTAACCAGTTTACCCTTAATAATTCGTCAGACAAGTAAACAGGACCCACATTGGCAATAATTAAACCATTTCTATTAGATAAAATTAATTGAGATGGAATGCATTTATTTCAGTAATAAGTCAGCTAGTATAAGAATTATACTGTGTGAGAACAGCTTCTAGAATTACCTCTCTGATGTTTTCCTTATTATGCGCGTTGACTCCGAAAGCAGGAGACTTTTCTTGGTTGAAATACTTGGTCCACTCCTGAATGATAGTATGTCAGATGTTTATATACATATAACTGCAAATATGACGAATCAGATGAACAGGATCAAGTAGATAAATACTCAAAGGCCGAATTTTCTTCCAATGAGGGAAATGCTGCTAAGAGTGATGTATTCATGGTTAGAGTTACAAGTATGCTACAAGAGTGAAAATCTCATGCCCCAATCCCCTTCCTTGTCTAATATATTGAAGTTTGCTATAAGATAAGATGTCGACCTACAATACCCTCCTGCATGATATATATTGAAGATGTAGTACTTTGAAGCATTAGTTCTTCAGATGCCACTGCCAACTCACTGTAACCGAGGAAGAAGTTTTAACTGATCTCAAAAGTATCCTTCCCATTGTCCCAAATTACAATCTCCAATTACTTCCATCCATGGTAAATATCTCTCATCACCAAGCAATTGAAGCAATCAACAGGTCTTGGGAGGAACTGTCTTGTACACTCTTCAATATCTAGTAATTGAGAACTTTTGCCCAACAAAATATTTGATTAATCATGCCAAATTCACCAAAATATGTGGAGCCAAATCACACTGAAGTTCAATGAACATTTCAGTTAGATTAAGTAAAAACAAGCATTCAACATAGACATCAAACTTTCCAGCTTCCATCTTAATCTCCCAGAATAACTTTAGATTTTCCATTATTCCTGTTATACATTCTTCTATGATAATATATCCTAATAATATTTATGTTATGCACATGATTAACTTTAAGAAAACATACAACAAATCTTTTGATAGCCAAAAGGGTGATTTAAATCCAGCATTCTGCAACAAAGAGTTCGACATTCATATCGAATCTGCATGATGACCCACAAGTTCTACTATGAGGATAGATACTCACCTTCATAGCTGATTGTTTTGCAAGGTCTATCTTGTTCAAGACAATGATGCGCCTTGAAGAAGACAACAAATCACCGAGTTGGCTGCATTCTGATGACAAAGGAATCTACGAATCATACCCAGAAAAATTTTCAGAACCAAATAGGAAATAAAACGCAATTGAAGAAAAAAACCAAACTAAGCAGAAGCATACGGACATATCTTAATACATAAATCAACATCAGTATTTCAATATTTACTGCGTCCCCAGAACTTAAAATTCAGAAACTCACAACGTGAATACAAGGACAAAGGAACAAGAAAGAGAGCAGTCACTCAGATATTTTAGCAAACAGTTTGTTTGCAATTAAAAGGAACCAGAAGCCAGATTTTTCCCTGTGCCTTACCCTTGCATCGCGAACTTCGAGGACGAAATCAACCAAAGGGATACGTTCAGCAATAGCGCGGGAAGCAGCTGCCATGTGGGGTGTGTACCACCAGCTTGAGCATTTGGTCCTGGCCACTTCTTTAACCGCACTACCTAACTTTTGAACTATACTTCTAGTAGCCGTTGAACCCATGAGGCCTTTGATCCTAACAAGCAAAATTAGTTTGTCATCGTGGAGTCATCTTCAACAATGGTACGCAGGCTTCTCTGGGATCCTCTTCCTTCAGTTCTTTTTTTGTTTTATTTTGCACCCACCAACTGAATCCTGATTCTCATTTTGGCCCCTGAACTCTAAACTAATGTCATTTTAATCTCTAAACTTCACCAGTTCCTGCTTTGTTTTTTTGTTTTTTTTTCCACAATTGATAATAGCCTATTCTATATTATTTCCACTCCTACTCCTACTCTAATCTATTTTAGGGAGACTCAACTAAATCTATGTGATCCAACTGGGCCTATGGGGGGCCGATCGGACCAAACGGGTACATTACACACCCATCTGGATTTGGAGAGCCACATACTTGGCAATAACCTTGTCTTCCACCCCACTAAGCCTTAATAGTGGCCACAAGGTGGTTAGTTCCTACTTTGTTCTCTGAACCATAAATTGAGACATTTTAAACCCTAAACTTATGTTATTTTTTAATTTTAAGATTTTTGAGATTATTGTTTAATCTAATTTTCTTGCTACGTTCTTGTGATATGCAATCATGCAGCTCAAGTGACTAGTATTCTATTAGTTTTGGAGATTCTGTTAATGATTGTACTTAAGTGGGATAATTTTTATAGTTTAGGAACTAAAAAGTTCCAATTTATAATTACAAAACTGAAATAAAAATTGAAACATAGTTGAATGGTACAAAATAAAATTCACCCTTTGATGGTAAATTTATGATTTGACGCTAAACCCTATAAAAATAGTAAAAGTTTTCATCTTAAAGCACCAAGAAATTTCTCACTTTTACATTTTCATCCTCCAATTTTAATATCAATTTTACATTTTCTCAAAAGGTATGCATAAAGAAATGCTTGTGAATTTAAATTTACTAAAAGGACAAATTCCAATTTCATCCACAAACTTGTATTACTTTTTCACTTTGCATCCTAAATTTCAATTTCAGATACTTTGCACCCTAAACTCTTAGTTTTGGATACTTTACACTGTAAATTCTCAAGTTTGACTTATTTAAGTCAAATCAATGACAACTTTAGCAAAATTAACAACATAGAAGACCCAATAAATCAATGATAATGTGCCAAAAGTAGTTAAAAGGTACCAAGGGTATCATAACAGAAATTAAATAATATATTGTCATTAATTTGTGATGTCTTTTATCTCTTTAATTTTGTTAACAATAATAGTAATTGACACTTTATAAATAAAAAATAATGTACTAAAAATCGCCAAAAAGGTTAAGGGATTGCAGTTAGAACAAAATGGTAGATTATCATTAATTTTCACCACTCTTTATTTAATTAATTTTGCTAGCATAGTCATTTATTGGACTGAAATTGGACAAAATTAAGAGTTTAGGATACAAAGTATCCAAAATTAAGAATTTAGGATGCAAAGTGTCTAAAATTGAAATTTAGAGCATAAAATAAAAAAGTAATACAAGTTCGAAAGCGCAAAGTGAAATTTGTCCTCACTAAAAGTTTGCTAAACATGCCAATGTTTAAAAGATTTATCCCTTCACAATTTTAGAAGAGTTCATTAGTCCTAATGACTGAAATCAAATGCATTACGAGAGCATTTGCAGCTATTTCCGCGCCTTTTTTTTTTTTTGGTTTTGCTATGTGTATGTTGGTAAATAGCGTGTACCATGATCTTGTTGTTGCCAAAATATTTATGTCAACCTCGTATTGTTTTCAACTTCAATAGATTACTTCTGGACAAACATGGCGTACTAGGCTTACATTATGGAACTTGATGTCATGCTTTTGATTGCTTTTGTGCTGAATTATCAGAAACGCCATTCCTTAAGCAATTTCTGAATCTCTGCAGACTAATACTTATGTACGACAATTGTGCTGAAAGGTTAAGTAACACAGAGATGTGTATAAGGGATCACGAAAGCAACTATTCCTGTGATATTCTTTCCCTTCGCCCAAAAAAAAAAAAAACCCCCGAGATCATACAACATAATCGATATCTTCATGGTCCTCTGGCTAAAACAAATAATGAATTGCTAGGCCAATGGCTAAAATTTTATTAAGATTGTTTTTTTCTGAATATAGAACTAGTACATTGGGTACAAAGGCCACACAATCTATCTAGATACGTCTTACGAACTTAAGCATGCCAAAGATTTCACTGAAATAGAGGAGAGTTCAGTCCTTTTTCCGCACACTTGAAGGTGAGACCCTTCTGACTCGTCCCAAACAATTATCTATAGGCCTCTGATGAGGTAAATAGATTAATGGGCACGAAGGATTCTGCCTTTCTAGCCTGCAAGACAAAGGGACAACACAATCAATAAAAATGTGCCTTATGTATTTTGTTTTCTGAAAACACCAAGGGATTGAATTAGCAATTTCAATCTTTTCTCCATGAAAATGAACGTAATTTCTAATCCAGGTTTGATTTATGAATGGTACTAGCAACTACTTAAGAAGCCAGTGTTTATGCACATGCCATGTCAACCATACATCTTTTCTGAATGTTATGCTACAGTTTGAAAGGAAATTTTAAGCTAAGAAGTGCAAGTCAAGAAGGGATGGAAGCCAGGTTGCTCACTCATAGTCAAGGAGAAAATAGTGAAGGAAAATAGAAATTTCGAGCTTTGCAAGATCATTTCCGGGACAAGTTCTGGCTCCTGCCCCGAAAGGAAGAAAACTTCCTGCTTTAGCTGTAAGACCCCGGAAAATAAATATAGCATCTGTTAATTTTCTTGATTATCTTCTCTCAGTTTCTAGATAAAATCATTATTGCGTCACAAGAAAAAGCAGTAATCCGTACTTGAGGAAATAAACAGTTAAAAGATAATAATTCTTGCTTGATAGAGATAGCCAGGAAGCGAAGAGAAGAAATTATACATTAAAAATAGATACAAGGAGCAGAGCAGAGGACTATAGAACAGTTATAACTTACATCCCATCTGTCAGGATCAAATTTCTTTGGCTCGGGATACAATTCAGGATCAAAATGAACGTTCCTAAACCAGACTAATGCTTTCCACCCTTTTGGAATTGTAAAACCTGAAGGAAACGAGAATCCTGCAGTTAGCACATTTTTATAAACATAACAAATAGGTTGCTTCTTGCAGGTTTTTATTTGCAAGATTATCCAATAAGCATAATAGCTAGTTTTCCATCTGCACCATTTGAGCAAAATCATTTTCTGTGAAGAGAAGAAAACACAGAAAAACGTCTTTCAAGAAATTACTTCATGTATATGCGCTTTTGCATTGGTTTCTGGGATGTCATCCTGATATATGAAAATCAAGGATTACTGAACTTACCAGAGATATTGATGTCTTTCTGTGCTTCTCTGAATACCACAAATGAGAAGGTAACTACACGTAGTGTTTCATCAATGACCTTCAAGATTTTGGAGAAGGAAAATTTCATCAGCAAACTCAGGTGCATGCTTGAAGATTGCAAATTTATGAGACGTTAAGAAATTCAGCTACCTTTGAAAGATAGTCCATTTGTCGAATTTCTTTCAGAGTCAAACCTACTTGGCCTGGTGGCCTGTTCTTAACAATTGCCTCTTGCTCAGCCTGCAAGTAAGTCCAATACTTTAGGCAAACGGTGGTCCTCAAATCCTTGAGAACCCTAATTAGCCAGAATCTTGAACTCTTTGTCCATTTTTTCACTCCCAAGCATCATCACATTTAGTAGACTAAACTCGTTCTTAGCTAGTGGCATCCATGAGTAGAAGGTAGATCACATTGATCAAGAAATACAGAGCAAAGGTGATGAGTATGATTTTCTTACCTTTGCTTTCTGAAGGACTTCAGGGTTCTTCTGCAGAAATAGAGTAGCCCACATTGAAACATGGCCAGATGATTCATGGCCTGCATTTAGATACATTACTAGAACATCAATAATTTCTTCATCATCCAATTTTCTACCTTTATCATCTACAGCATCCATCAGCGCGTCCATCATATCCCTTTTCTCAGCAGTTGAATTTTCCTTTCTCCTTGCCCTTCGCTCAGTCACAACAGATTGAAATATAGCCACAAGCCTTTTCCGTGCCTGAACATTTCAGATCACTTATTTGAGTCACAGTTTATAATCCCAAAAGTATAATCCTGGCAATCAAGGTACTACATTTATTCCTCAACTTAAAATCAAATGCCATAGCACCGTTAAATGAGTATTGTACCATTTCATTTCCACTGGAATAAGTTGTGAAATGAATATAAGAATGATGAACAAAGATCACCTTGAGAGCATTATAGTAAGCAAATCCAGGAACGTTAATAGACATTGCTCTAACACCATGGTTGAGTACAGTATACTCCCTTTCTAAGGCTTCCATTACTTGCTCACTCTCTGAACCCAGGAAAATATGTGTAATTATCCTGAATGTAAGTTTTCGAAGTTGAGTTAAAAACTCAATTTGTCCCATTCCTGCCCATTTCTCCAAAGCCTCTGTAACGTTGTCTTCAATGTACTTCAAGTAAATGGACAATGCCTCATGTCCATTCACTGGTGCTGCTGTTAATTTGCGCAATCTTTTGTGCTCTTGGGCGGATATGCCAATGAAAGATTTTCTCCCCATAAGTGTCAGGGTTGAACTAGGCCATCCAGGCATGAATGCTTCATCATCTGTTAAAACTCTCTTGCAAGCTTCTGGTGTTGTAACAATGATGCTTGGGCTACCAAACATCATAGTCTTGTAAAGTCCCACAGGACCAAATCTGGATCATTCATTGGGTTAATTTTGCATAGCCACCAGAAAAAATAAAGAGCAAAGGGGAAAAAAGAAAAGCTAACAAAGGAACAAATTTGATAAAAACATGAAATCAAAAGAAAATTATGCTACGTTTGCTTAGTGTAAGCAAATGTTGCAGACACACAGACACAACCACACACAACTGAGAGAACCTGTTGACAAAACTGGAGATGAAAGAATCAGGATTGCTGGACTTGAAAGCTCTGAGGAAAGCCCACATGCTGCCAATAAAAGGCCATCCCAGATCACCGGGTGGCAGAGAGAATCTCCTATCACCCAACTTAGCTTCAAAGTGCCACCGATTTAAGCTCTTCAGCAGGGACTTCAATCCCATAAGACCACCAAAAACAGCCATCATCAGCATGCAGATGAAGCCCCAGTACTCCATTATGAGATCAGCTGGAGTAAGATTTGTGAATTGGCAATGAGGTTTTTTTTCCGAAAGGGTCCACCAGCAATCTGAAAAGGATACCAAACTTGGGTTTTCAGGGGAAGAAGTGAAAGGAAAAAAGTACAGAACTCACACACACATCCCTCTCATCAGTCTCTCTCTCAAGTCTTATGTAAAAGGATGTGGATGCAGAGAAGTAAAAGACAGAAATCACAAAAGATGATGGGGGTGAAACATAGAAAAGTAATATGGGTCAAGAGAAGGCTTGGATTTGTATATATATAAGGGAAAGGGCATAGCAGAGATAGCTTTGCGGCCTATTTCTATTTGTCCTGCGTCTTGTGCATATCCTTTTAAGCCACTTATGGTTTCAAAATCTGTGCACTGATGAACAATTATAAGTATCCTTTTAAGCCACTTATGATTTCAAAATCTGTGCACTGATGAACAATTATAAGTATCCTTTCAAGCCACCTGTGATTTGGGAAGATGTCCTGCTTTGTTCTAAAAGGCTGTATTGATGAGTAATTATAAATATCCTTTGCATTTATGAGTAATATAAATATCCTTTAAATTACCTGTGATTTCAAAACTTTCGCATTGACGCGTAATTATAAATATTCTTTTAAACCACCCATGATTTGGGAACTCATTCAAAAAGGGTGCTTTGACAAGTAAGTATAAGTATCCATTTAAACCGTCTGTGATTTCGGAGCTTACCCTGCTTCATTCTAAAAGGGTGCATTGATGAGTAATTATAAAGATTCTTTGCATAAGTCATTATAAGTATCCTTTTAATTCACCTGTGCATTGATAAGTAATTATTACTATTCTTTTAAGTTACCTGTGATTTGAGAACATGTCCTACTCCGCTTTAAAAGGGTGCATTGATAAGCAATTAAAAGTATTCATTGCATTAATCAGTAATTATAAGTATCCTTTTACATCACCTGAGATTTCAGAATCTGCCCTGTTTCATTTTGAAAGGGTAGATAATGAGTAATTATAAATATCTTTTGCATTGATGAGTAGTTATAAATATCCTTTTAAGCAACCTGTGATTTTGGAACCTGTGCATTGATGAGTAATAAACCACTTGTCATTCAAGCCACCTGTGATTTGGGAACTTGTCCTACTTTGTCTAAAAAGGGTACATTGATGAGTAACTATGAGAATCGAATCCTTTTAAACCACCTGTGATTTCGGAACCTATCCTGTTTTGTTCTAAGAGGGTGCATTGGTGAGTAATTATAAGTGTCCTTTTAAACCACCATCGTGATTTTGAAACCTGTACATTGATGAGTAATTATAATTATCCATTTAATCTAACTGTGATTTGGGAACTTGCCCTATTTCATTCCAAAAGGATACATTAATGAGTAATTATAAGTATCCTTTATTGATGAGTAATTATAATTGATAAGTATCCTTTTAAGTCACCAGTGATTTCAAAACCTGCCCTCCTTCGTGTTTTAAAAGGGTACTCTGATGAGTAATTATAAGTATCCTTTGCATGGATGAGTAATTATAAATATCTTTTTAAACCACTTGTCTTCAGGTGAAAATATATTGTTTTCATGTTATAGTTCACACATCAAAAGGTGAAAACCCATGGCAATTATCATTCATGGATGCATAAATCAAATCTTCTGATATAGCTGTGATAGTTTACAAATCAAAAGAATCAAAAAGCAATAAAAATTGTATAAGCTGGTTGCTTGAAAAAGTTTGATTGATTTTAATTTTTTTTTTGTTTGATTGATTTTACTTTACAAAAAAGTCATGTACTATATCCCTCTGACAAATTATTTAATTTTGACTTGAACGTCATCATAACACCTTAATTCAAGCATTGTACTTGGCAAAGAAAGATACGTATACAGTATACATATCCTTACCGCCAAGTTGGTGTAATTTTGCCTGTAATGTTCTTAGAACACCTTAATGCATAAAGTGAAATAGTATAAAGCAGGTGGGTTGTCCTTAGAAAATCTATCTGTACTTGTTTTCCTCTTTTTAAGCGCTCACTTTGGGCTTAGGATTTTAAAACTCCTATGAAATAACATTTCTTAGTTTTTGAACAGATCTTCTCTCATCCTACTTATTTACACTTCCATGAGAGTCCCATTGACACCTTGTCACTCGAAACTTTCAAATTAATGCCATAAGGTATTGTATGACAAAACCTATTGTATCTACAGAGCATATATTAACTCACATCTAATGTTCCCTTTATGAGTAACTTGGTTTACAAGGCCTCACTAGTAAATCTTCTGTTGGTTAAATTACCTACTCCATGCATGAATGATAGTGTGTCAGATGTTTATATGCATATAACTGCAAATATGATGAATCAGATGAACAGGATCAAGTAGATAAGTAACCAAAGGCCAAAATTTTCTTCCCATGAAGGAAATCCTACTAAGAGTGATGTATTCATATTTAGAATCACAAGTACACTACAATGTGATCCCCCAAATCTCATCCTTGTCTAATATATTGAAGGTTGCTATAAGATAAAAATGTCAACCGACAATACCCTTCCTTGTAATAGATATTGAAGATGTTGTAATTTGAAGTACTAGTTCTTCAGATGCCACTGCCAACTCATTGTAGCGAACCAAGAAAAAAGTATTAACCAGTCTCAAAAAGTTTCTTCCTGTTGTCCCAAATTACAATCTCCAATTACTTATATAGTCAGTATTACTATCCATGGTAAACATCTCTCATCACCAAGCAATTGACACAATCATCAGACCCTAGGATGGACTGTCTTGTAAACACTTCACCATCTAGTGATTGAGAACTTCTGCCTAACAAAAATTTGATTAGTCATGCCAACTAATCAACTTTCTTACATAAGATATTTCACCAAATATTGTGGAACCATATCACACTGAACTTCAATGAATGCTTCAGTTAGATTAAGTAAAATTAAGCAGCATTCACCATAGACATCAAACTTTCCAGCTTCTATCTAATCTCCTAGAACAACTTCAAATTGTCCACAAACCCATGTTGGTCATTCTTCTATGATAATATATCCTAATAACCGTTATGTTATACATATGATTAACTTTTATTAAACATACAATGAATCTTTTGATAGCCAAAAGGGTGATGTAAATCTAGCATTCTGCAACAAAGAGTTCAACATTCATAGCTTGCATGATTACCACCAAATTTTACTATTAGGATAGATACTCACCTTCATATCTGATTGTTTTGCAAGGTCTGCCTTGTTCAAAGCTATGACCCGCCTCAGAGAAGACAATAAATCACCGAGTTGGCTGCATTCTGATGACAAAGGAATCTAGGAATCGTACAAACCAAAAAAAAAAAAATCAGAACCAAAAAGAAGAAAAAAGCAATTAAAAATAAACAAACAAAGCAGAAACATACTTTAAAAATAAATAAATAAAATGAGCATAAGCATACAGACGTTCCTTAATGCATAAATCAACATCAATATTCTACTATTTACTACGTCAATCAACCAAAAGATGACAACCCAAACGTTAAAATTCAGAAACTCATAACGTAAGTACAAGGGCAGCGGACAAACAAACCAAAAGAGAAGCAAAAACAGAAGAGACAAGTCATTCAGATATTTCAGCAAACAGTTTGTTTGCAATTAAAAGGACCCAGAAGCCAGATTTTCCCCCCTGCCTTACCCTTGAGTCGCGAACTTCGAGGACGAAATCAACCAAAGGGATACGTTCAGCAATAGCGAGGGAAGCAGCAGCCATGTGGGGTGTGTGCCACCAGCTTGAGCCTTTGGTTCTGGCCACTTCTTTAACCGCACTACCTAACTTTTGAACTATACTTCTAGTAGCCGTTGAAATCACGAGGCCTTTGAAGCTAACAAGCAATATTAGTTTGACATCGTGGAGTTCATTCTGAACAAGAGTACACAAGCTTCTCCGGGAACCTCTTCCTTCTGTTCACTTTTTTGGCTAGACAACTCAAATGGCTTTTTTGTTGCTTTTGGCTTTGCATCCAAACCGGTAGCTATTCACACATTCCCTAATGAAATTGGGATTTTTAGCCAAAGAAATTAATATAATCTCTCAATTGTTATTTTCTTTTAGTGAAACAAGTACAAAAATGGTTTATCCATTGAGTTCCTTAATATTGCAATTAATCTGGTTATTTAGAAACATTTATTGGCAATTGGTGATGTCTACAATAGGTGGAAAACACTTTGCATCAGGGTTCTTGGTTGGCTTATGTTATTTTGACCTTTAATTTATAATAAAAATATTTCTGGCAATTAGGATAATTTATAATGGGTTCAAGTGCTTATAATTTGAAGAATTTATGCTACTTTTTTCTTCTTTATGTAGGGTTGAAGTTGAGGAAGGTCAAAAAATCACTTAACTTTTGGCCAAACTTTTTAGATTGGGTTTTATATGAATCCTAGGTAAGTAAATAGAAAATAAATAAATTGTTCCCAGTAAGTAGTCTGCTGTAGTTTTTCACGTTATTCTTTTTGGAGAATGAGTTGATAATGTGGGTGTCTGGTGCCTGTGGGGAAGGAGGTTTTTTTGTTGAACAAACAATAGTACATTGTGAGAAGAAATAAAACTTAGTATGAAAAGATAAACGATATAATCAATCAATTCACACAGCATTATAATAAAACTGTGTCAAATTGAAGGTCGTTGATAATGCAGAAAGACAGAGCAACACAGAAAGCTAACCTTATTCCAGAATCCCCACCGAGAGCTCTTATTTGCTGTTGCTCCAAACCTATAAGATTATAACAAATCCAGACCAATTGGGGTTAGGTAACGTGATAAGAGTCGCTAATTGTAGATACTAAAAACACACCAATAAAATTAAGGGAGGAACTGAAAAATTGGGAGGGGGGGTGAAATCTAACCTCACGCTGAGTCACCAGGAGTAGCTGGGACTGAAGAGCATTCTGAGCTGATTAGTATGAAACCAGGTAGAATTATCCCAATCCTAGAATGCGAACAGGAAGAAACTGATAATCAACCATTTAGGCATTAACATACCAACGGTTCGGCAATTGAATTGGGTGTAATTAATGACGAAATAATAGGTAATTTCAGAGTTGAATTCGGATGGAAGAGAAAACGATGAGGCAAATTGTTGTAGACAAAGGCAAAAAGGAAAAACTTAACTCGTGAAGCTGAAAGGGGATAAACTGACCAACGTTTGTAGCTCATAAATGCAAATTATAAATGATAGAGAAATGGGATCCTATCATTGATAGAGAAATCGTTGCCTCATTTCCTAAATTCGATTGCCATTCAAACGTTTTAAACAAAGCAACATCTCAAACGGTTATCTGTGGCTGAAAAAGAGAATTATTGGTAGCTAAGGGATATTCCGGTAATTACACCAACACACAAGCATATATGAGTTGTACAAAATGCAAAAACGGTTGCACATTAATTACACATTCCATCAATACCCAGATGGTTCATCAATGACAACTTTAAATGTATTAAAATGGGGTCATTTCAGTAAACATACCCAAATATATGTTTCCTTAACTTGTACCTAAAGCTTTTAAACCAATACACAACATTTCACATTTCCAAAAAGCCCCCACCTTGCGGTTGAAATTCAACCTATTCTTTGACCAAAACTCAATCTTATATAGTATAAGGATTTTGGACCTTCCAACTGAATGTTGATTCTCATTTTGTTTCTAAACTATAAATTATGGCATTTTAATCTCTAAACTTCACCGGTTCCTACTTTGTTTCTTGAATTCTAAATTAAGACATTTTAAACCCTAAACTTATGTTATTTTCTAATTTTGAAATTTCTTTTAGGTTGTTATTCAGTCTAATTTTCTTTCTATGCCCTTGTAACATGCAATCATGCTCTTCAAATGACTAGTATTCTATTAATTTTGGAGATTATGTTAATGATTGTACTTAAGTGGGATAATTTTATAGTTTAAGAACTAAAGAGTCTCAATTTATAATTTCAAGGCCTAAATAAAAATTGAAACATAGTTAAATGGCACAAAATAAAATTCACCCTCTTAAGGCAAATTTATGATTTGATGCTAAATCCCTATACAAAAAATAAAAGTTTTCATCGTAGAGCACCAAAAACTTTCTCACTTTTATATTTTCATCCTTCAATGTTAATATCAATTTTACATTTTCTCAAAAGCTGTGCAAGAGATAAAGAAATGCTTGTGAATTTAAATTTAGTAAAAGGGACAAACTCCACTTTGCACCATAAGCTTGTATCACCTTTTCATTTTGCACCCTAAATTTCAATTTTTAACACTATGTGCAATAAACTCTTAGTTTTGGATACTTTGCACTCTAAACTCTTAAGTTTGTCCTATTTAAGTCAAATCGATGACAACTTTAGAAAAATTAATAGCATAGAGGACCCAACAAGTCAATGATAATGTGCCAAAAGTGGTCAAAACCTCAGGGGACGTCAGTAAAATTGTCAGAAACTTTAGGAGAGGTTTGAAATTATCCCTTTTATAAAATGGGAGAATTGTAGTTTTGATCCTCAATTTATCATCTATGCGAGCATTTCATCCTAAATCTATTTTTTAAATTAAAGGTGGTTCTCAATCTATTCAATTTTGTTCGAAAGTGGACAATTGACATATTTTGTCTAATTTCTAATGGAAATGATGGCGCATGAGAAGTCACTTGCCATGACTTGCATGCATTTTGTTTCGGATTAATTACATTTACCACCCCTTAGAATTAACTTCTTGTCTACTCTTGACTATTTTTGCAGAAGAGCAACCACGGTAGCGAAAAGAGGCAGCAACTCTATCTGCATGGGGCTGAACTTTGGCGATAGCTGTTTGACTCCCATCGCCACTACCACTGTCCCCTCTGCTACAACCAACTCAAAATTGAGATGGTTTCTCTAATTTAGGAGAGTCACATGCACTCGGTATAATTTGAGTTATATTCAATTTCTTTCTTTCCATTTTTCTTTTGGTGGATTATGGTGTTTCCAATTTGAGGAGAAATAGTGAACTGGGTGGTTTCCCCTAGAAAGAGTGGCAGCTGCAACAGCTTAGAGGTGCAGCTGGTGGTGGTGGCGGGGATGCTGCCTCTACAGATACAATCGAGGTGATAGCAGTTTAAGGAAATTCATCGATCAAATGGCCCCAAGATGCCCCCTCTACCAACACTAGCTCAAATGTTGCAAGTAAATCTGAATTGGATGTTGTTGCTGACTCTGAGCTCTAACCTATTCCACACTGCCATTAGCTCTTGTGATGAGTGTTGGCACCACTGTTGCGGTGGCCATTGAAACATGCATAAATGGAGAAGTGGGAGAGTTTTCTACCCAAGTCCATGACACCATCCTCAAGCCAAGAGCAATCTATTCTATGATAGATCATAGGGGACGTGGATGACCCATATATGGCTAATTTAAATAAGGTTCTCCAACTGCTGGTAGTGGTGGGTCTGTGCCGCCAACTACGAGTTCAAAGATTCATGAATTAAAAACCAAAGTCCCGTAACTCCAAAATCCTTCATCAACCTTGAATTCAAATTTCCTAAGATTCTTACCCATCTAAGGGCGTTCGTCAAGCTTTAGACTAGTTTTGCCATTTTGATTTGATGTAGTTCTGGGTTTCTTCTAGGCTTATAGTATATTCTATTTTTGGTCAAAAATAGTCTGTTTCTAATTTTTTGATTTTTTTGAGTAAGTATTTCTTTCATTTCAAAAATTGTTTTTCTTTTTCTGTGCAAAGAAGATTTAGATAAATTTTGTGACATTTTTTCAAACATGCAACTCTCATTTTGGTTCCTTTTTTTGAAAATTTTAATGTATTTCTTTTTTTTTGGACAAAAAAGATGTGCATTTTTTTTCTTTTATGCATAGAAATTTGTTGTGATTGTTCTTTATTTGTTTACTTTGTAGTATTTCTTACTTTATTTTTTTGTAAAATTTTCTTTTACTATTTTCTACCTTTTCTTTCTAAGGGGGTTTCTGAAACACATTTGTTCCTTCAAGGATCTGATTGTCATTTGGCCAAATCTCAAGATTGAATTGGTAATTCGGTTAGACCTCAAGAGAGGTAACCCAAAATGAAAAACTTCATTTCTCTTGAAAATTGGATGAAATCCATCAATTGCACACTCTCACGCAAAATTGGATAGATTAGGGACTACGTTTACTTTCAGAAATAGATTGGGGACCAAATGTGCGCACAGATGAATGTGCAAAAGGCTGCATAATGTAAAATCTAGTATATAAACTGGGCAAGTAACTTGTACAAAACTGGATTGTCAAAGGAATGTTTATTTCGCTTGTAATTCATATTAGTCAACAACTAAAAAAGTTCAATGTTACATAAAACAAAACATTAGAAAGAAGAAATAGCATTGTGTAATATATTCTGTTTCAATGTTCCATTAGAACTGTTAAGAGCAATTGCAAAAGGTTTTAACACTTTCGAGAGGCAGTTGTTGGATTAAAAGGAATATTATCAAAATTTAGGGGGGAAACACAGGAACAATATTAAAAAAATCCAAATTTTATAACCTATTCTAGAATTTTTTTTTTTTTTAAGTTGTACTCCTAGGTGGATTCATGTGTGGACTGGTTGAATAAATGTCAACTTAATCCTTCATGGAAACTTCTCTAAAACTTCCAAGATTTAAGCTATTTTCTATCCAATTGATCAAGAAATAATTATATTAAGAGAACTTTTTTAAAATCAATATGGAGAAACAATGAAATGATCAATTCTTAACATGCCCCGGAAATTTTTCATTTGTCACCATTTGGAGAACAAGCAGAATAGACCTTAAATGTTATGGGGTTTAGAAAGAATCTATTAGCACTTGCTAGGATCTTAACTTCATTCTTGAGTCATTTGTTATATATAAATCTACTGTGGTAGCAAATCAAAAGTTCAAAACCCATGCATTTACACAGAGAAATGGTAATTAAAGAGAGAGAGTGAGTGTGTGTGTGTATGTGTTTCACTGCCAATAAACTGAAGTTTGGGATATGCAATGTGCATATAAGACA